GTCAATCGATAATATGATCAGTGGGATCATATCGGTAGCAGATAATTGTGCATCTGAAGAATAAACGTTGTTGCCTTTATTCATAGAATAGGAAGAAAGGAGACGGCGCCGAAAACTCGGCTTCTAACGGGCTCTATGCTAATGACAATAACGCTAATAGGATAATTTGATACGCCCGCATTTCGGACGCACTGTTTTTACTGTATTCCAGTCAAATACGAAAATAGCTGCCATTTGATGTACGAAAAGTTTTCATTTTAAGCCACTCGAAATACGTGATACTCTCAGCGTGACTACTTGAGGCGAGACCTATTCAATCACAAAGATCACGCATACCCCGTTAAAATATATATATAAGGTTTCTTTTCACAGAAAAGTTTGCGTCTCAAAGCTCAGAGGAGAGAATTAAAATCAATCCCTGTCGTGTGAAGCATATATAGTACGCACCATGGGCCAAGTTACTGGTGCAACTCATCCGTACCAGCTTTAGTATTATCGAACACATGTTTCGTAGTAATCAATATATTATTATGTCAAATAATATTATGACATAGAAATATTTTTGTCATTAAACGTTTTTATTTGTCACAACTACACAACTAAACTGGATGAAATGTGATATAAACATCTCTAAATGGTCCTATGTCAATAAGATTGTTCACGAACAGCATTTCCGCCGAGGCCTATTTTCCTACGCGTTTCAGTATCGTCAAGCTATCAATAAAGCACGTACAACTCATTAAACAGTCAACGTTTTGGAAGAATTTTACGTTACCTTTGGTTACGTTTGATTCTATTGTGTGTCTATGAAAGTATTTCCACGACCCATCGCACCCTGTCTGAGTTTCCGCACTAAATAAATAAGGCAGATTCTAAATATCTTACATTCAAGAGATCCGAGCTAAAATGATCACTGCTTGTTTTAACAATATCGCCGCTCAGAACCGTTTTTTAGATACTTTCTCGGGTTATCTATTTTAGGAATGCTATGAGTTGTCTACGTATGGCCAAGATGAATACGTTTTGTTCATCTTTCTTCGAAATGTTTGCCTCTTTTAGAATATAGTACAAAGATAACAGCGGACTGGTCAATGGATGAAAATTTCAGCCGATTATATATGTGCTATACTATATACGTAAGTCATCACAGATTAGCCGCCTTCGCTGCTATCCTATTATACGACTCGTTGTCATTTGTCAAGTTGACAAATGGCGTGCTTGATTACACTTGAGATGGTCTTGTCGTTATGTCGTCTGAGAAGACGGAAATACGTCTTTTTCTCGTCGTTCTTGTAAGGATACAAGTTCTACACCGGTTCAGGACGCTATACGCAAATAATTAGAGTCATATCAAACAAGTTACTATTGGTTCTTCAATTGCAGCGTGTTCTAGCGTTATGTCCACGATAGGTAAGTGGTGCGGTAAACGCATTCAAAAAACGATTTCCATTTTTTTGATCCCTGTTGCGTGATAGCTTTCTTTAATTGAGGGTTTAAAATGACTGAACGTCTCCTACTTGTTGCTCGAATGGACTTTTTCTTTTACAAAGCTAACTATTACGCCACGAACATCTCTTCAGACAGGAAACCTGTATTTTTTTTGGGAAACGAGTCTAGTAACGAAATATTGTAGCGTCAAATATACAGTTTACCATCCTTTCCTCTAATGTAATTCATGTAGTCAAAGCGATGAAAACTATGGAAAGATTACGAAAATGTTTGAACTCTTACGTTCGGGGCACGCAGCTTATCTCTTATGACTTCTTTTAGCTCTAATACTTAGTTACGCTGCAAGCATGCAGCGAAGACGCTCATAGAAAGGAAATCAACCTGCCCCAGACGCAATACCACGCTAACGACCGGTTAGCCGTCAATTTCTAGACACTAGACGCGTTTAAAAATCGTTAGGAAGAGAGAGCCCAACCTACTAAATGCTACCGCAGTTATTTTATTGTAGTCGGTTCAAAGAAGTATATGGCGTTCTATAATTCATACGACTACTTGTCTGAGACTTGGCCTGTTTCGTCTGCTACTTGTTCGACCTTCAGAAGAGGGTTTTTTTAAACGAACGTCCTAAGCGAGCATGAAATATCTCAGCATCAAAAAACGAGTCGGCTGGGAAAATTGTCGAGTAAAAATAGCACCTGTCCGCCGGACTAAATTAATGGTGCTTTAAATATTGAACTCCAGACGTAGAGACAAATTGAACTCGAGTATGCAGATTTACGTCAGGATAAATGGCTAGATGAGTAACTAGAGGATACAATAGAAATCAATATGCATAATACCGAACCATAGATAGATAGTCATCAATACAAATCACGAGCACAGGCACCTCTCATATCGAGTACATTTCTGCACACTAGTAAACTTACGAGACACATCCCTGCTATCAAATGCCTCAAAAAAGCAGTAGCAGACGAAATGAACAGAACGTCCGTACAACGTTGAACCCTAGCTAGAAGGTCAAGTCAAGCTAGAACAGAGAGACAGTTACATTTATATTCGTTGTGGAAATACCTAGGGATACGTGATGCGGAATCGTTTTCATCCGACTCCCAAAAGCTATCGGTCGTATAGAATAGGCTTTTGCGATTTTTTTATGCTAATAGAAAACTTTGTAGAAAAGTTCTGTTTACAGTGGTGCGCAATGCAGACTGAACCGAGTTAAATTAAAACTGACTTTGCCCAATGTGACCCAGAGATCTAGAATAAATCCATCGAGGCTCTGGATCTATAAGTCTGAACTGTACGTTTGCAGCGAATCACTTGCGAGATTATAAACTTTTCCTAGAGAAACTTCCTATCTCGAAGTTGTATAGTGATTGTAACGTTCGAGCTCAGATTCCGTGAGTAAGCTTCACTGTATGATGAATTTGTTTAAGTCTAGATTCAAATGAAATGAAAATGTCCGTATTACCAATCGTCAGGCATTAGCTGTGCCTTAGGTAAAGGATGTATTTGAAATAAATACCTTATTAGATTTTATGAATGCCTTACAATCCACTCACATAGGGATGGAGTTTATCGAAATTTTATCACTCAGCTCTACACCATATTTAAACTTATATTTTTTTATCTTATCTTTCTTTTAGCTTATCTTTTATTTATGTCGCATGTGTTTTCTACCTAACTTTAGCTGTACGGCATTCCAAATTATAGACAAAAACTGGCCAAAAGCCTATAGCTTTTCTGCACCGCTCCATTGCTCAATACTGTGGATACATTATGTAATCCTATTTATGAAATGCAAGCTAGCTCTAACCCGTGGCCGACTTTATATAGGAAAGATAATGTGCTAGCCGAATATTCATTATGACTTCATCATGATTCAAACAGCATGTATTATAAACAAACCGTACGTGGGTTGGGGACGCAGTGAATGAATACGTTTGCTGTCTCGCCAAGACTCCTATTGACAGGTACCTAGAACTGTACGAGAAGGCGAGGGGCTTACACTACAATAAACTCACAAATGGACAACAGTCCTTTTTGCTGATTTTGAGGGTGGGCTTTAATCGCTTGGCCTTCTCCACGAGAGCACTTGGGAGCTATAAAGGAAACTTCAGCGCCCGCTGCTGACGTTTTACCCGCAAAAGCCATGTGTAACCTCTTTAGATTTCTGAGGGAATCTCTTGGCGTATGCTCGCAAAGGCGACCGACTGCTCTATCACCTAAATTGTGTCCTAAGCACTTTTCCATTTATATTTTTTGCTATGTACGCACAACCCATTTTAACCAACAATGCGGATTTTTTTCAGTATTACGTAAAAGTACTATTGTTTTTTTAAATGGTGTATTTGACTTAAATCAATTAATTATTTAAACGTTATTTAGAACATCCGCGAAGCCATGCTTAATATCTACACTTTTAGATTTCCATCTTTCTAATCTTACCTTCGCAGGAAACTCGAAAAAACTCGAAGAACATATCTTTGAGCAAGTTTCTTACTAGAAGATCACTAAAAGGCAATAGCGATAAAGACATGATCGGTAATATAAAGATTCACAAGAAGAACAGGTTCAATTGAGGAAAAGAGGACGGACAAAGCAGACCAATGATCTTCACCCAATAGGTTTACATTGATACAATTGATTGCCGGAGGCATTGTGCTGTTAACTAAAGGTCACAATGTATACGAATGTGTCAGTTCACTGTGACTGAAAAGGTCGTTTCTTTTGTCTCATGACGGTGATAAAAAGAAAGAAGCGAAACGTGACAAATGGTCAACGCTCTTATATCTCTGACAAATCTTCACGGTGAGATCTTAGCAATTTGTTAAACGATAGCGCTACGCAGGGCGTTCCGGCGACTGAAAGTAACTTGACCTGATTTGGCTATACGTACATATCTTTATTCACTGCCCACCCATCGCCTAAATCAGAAGATCACAAGCGCTCACAGCCAGGGTCGTGGAAATGCCGATGAAGCCTTATGTTAGTGTCTTGATATAAAGGACGATTTGCTTTGCAAAAACATCAATACTTGAGAAAGTAATTAATTCGGGCAATGCGTCTTTAGCCAGCGCGTGCTAATTATGGCGGGTCTTCCTAAGTCTTGAGACGTGTGACCTATTCGAACGCTTTCCGTTGGGGCCAGCCGTCTATATGATAGTCGAACCAAAAAACACCTTCGAAATATTTTGTGTACACGACGCTGAGCCCTCTCAGTGAGTAGACCTTCGCTATCGGTTAAATTTAGAGCGAATATTCGGTTTCATATTGGTAAAGAAACGCTTGATGAAGTAGCACCTCCTATTCGAACGGTGGTAAATGATAATTCCAACAGCGTCTAGAAACAATAGTGAATAGACATTTGGCACATAGAGCGTATCACCATTATATGTCAGTCAACCGTTACCTACTTTAGCCTGTTTGTCGAATTACAAGTCTATAGGTTGTGAAGTCTGAAGAACGAAATCCTTACTTCAGCTTTCTATGACAGACTATAACAGGTACCTAAAATAGTGTGTGCCTAAATTCTCCATGTAGGCCCATTCATTTTGTTACCACAACAAAATATGGCGCGGGGACCAGGTCAACATACCTTTTACTTTTTATTCTCTATTATTTTCACAGCTAACTAATGAAACAAGCGATGGTTGAGTAGAAGAAGCACTGGAAGGTATGTGTGCAGGTATTAAGCATAAGCTGTCAACTTCAACCCTCAAATTACTGAGAAACGTATTTTTTTAACCTTTCAGTTTATTTTTCCAACTTGTTTTTTACTGTAGGTTACGACTGAGCTCGTGCTTGTAGATTTCCCCTTTTCACACATCGACCTGTTCATGGCTTACGAAAACGGTCGCGCACAGGTTACGACTGCCATAACGAAATGGTACAATTCATGTAGCAGAAGAACCTTTCGATAGAATAAAAATTGCTGGACGAAATCGTGGCATTGCTGAAAGAAGTGTGTTTGCGATCTACCTACGCGTGTTCGGAATATGTATAGTTAACCTAAGAAGTTTCGCTGTTTTTCCGGTCATAGTAAAGAAGAAGAAAAGCTACTTTCATTTTACCTCCAATTACGATATCCAGCTCGTATAGTTAATACTAAATCTATTACGAGCAACGAATTCGATTCTTTGCAATTATGCTTAAAACTCAATATATTTAAACGTTATAGCTTCACCGCTAAACTTGAATTTGAATTGTCCCCCCCAGTAAGATACTACACTAGTTATCGTTATATTCATGATCTTGTGTATGATATGAGGGCACTTGTGTTTATGAAGATCCTATTTTTAAAATGAGTAGTAAGCCTATCTTGTTCTGCTGTTTACAACGGGCCGAGGTTTTTGTAAGAGGCAAAAACACGTGGTACTCGACGTCGTATTCTTCCACGAACTTAAGTAGCACCGTGTATATGTGCATATAATAGTCCCTAGGAGGGCTGAATTTTTGGTGAACGCATTTTTTGTACGTTACAAATCAGAAATAACCAATGAGAATCATCACACCTGGTGTAAAGTACTAAGTCACAGTCCCTATTACTTACTTGTTATTAAGCGACTAGTTAATGCGATACTTACATAAATCTAAATATCATCATCTGTCTAGCGTTCTTACAGTTTTATGAAATCTCTTCCAAAGTGCAGTGAAAAGACTTCTTCCTGGAGTCTCCGCCATTTAAAAAGGAGATAGATATATATAAGTATGTACATTCTGCTCAGTTGACTTTGCCCCGTTACTAAAGAGAATAATTTTTAATTTCACCAATATAGCTATACTTACTACTAGAAGCATAAATACGCATCATCGCCGGTCACAATCTTTCTAATAGCAGTTACGGGGCAATAGACGGTAATCGGCAGATTCAATCAGCGGCCCGATTAAAGGCCAATCGAGTCAAAAAGAACTAGTTAAAAAAAAAAGTACAAGTAGTATTCATTTAGATCTTTGACGTGGCTATAGTCATATGTTATAGATATGACGTTCTACCCGTCTGACAATACAGTGCTGTGTAGCGGTACACCGAAACCGAGATCATTTTCCCCTTAAGCGCATTTGCTTAGGCTGCTAAGAACGTGCAGCGCGCGTAATGGCTATTACTCACGTCGTGTCTAAATACAGCGGTTGTATTGCTCTACGGCACGAAATCAAGACATCAATATAATATAGTATAATGGCAAGTGACACGAGTCACCATTGAAGTTAACTCTCTTGAAACTTCACAATATACCTACAGTGCATATACATCTACTATGGCGACAATTACACAACGTGGCTAAAAGAAACTGTGTCATCGGGAATTCTCGGTAAAACCAAAGGCGAGCGCTTTTTGTGATAATGATACACAATGATCATGTTTGGTGGCACATTTGTAACATATTCCGTGATTCGTTTGTTTGACGCTACCGTTTTTTCCCTAGTCGACTCGACGGTGATAGCGGACCCGACAATAACCCTGGCCTCGAGACTCTCGGCCTGCAAATAACCAAAGTCACGCGCAGCCTGTTCTTCTTTGGCTGAAGTTAGTGGGACGGCGTTTTTTTCTAGCAGCGGCCGATGGTTGGAAACGGTAGCACCAGCGGCATTGCTGTGCGCCAGATCCACAACCTCTCCCTGACTGACCACAGAGTCCGCGTCGACGCCCGCGGTTTTGCTGTTGGCTGTTCTGACTAACGCCGCTTGGAGATTGTTGTTGTCGTTGTTGTTGTGGTTGTTAAGACCGACCGGAAAGGGTCCCGACGCAAGCGGAAGCTTGGCTACGTCGTTCTGCTTGTCCGCTTGTAAACAGCCGCTCCCGCTCCCACTGCTACATTTGAAGTGGTTGAACAGCTCGCCAGCTCTAACACCGCCCTGCTGTCCTGCGGCGATGAACACGAGAACGACCTGCAAACGGGTGTACACACAAAAACGAAACGCAGCATCCACCAGCAATGGGCGAGTCAGCTAAATGCTCCTTCTTTGCTCTCTGTCTGTTCGTCCTCAGGCAGCTAAACTGCGCTTCTGCGCTTTCTACCTCCCGCTTCCCCCAACTACCGCCTGTAGACCCCTGCGGGTCAACTGCTTGAGCCTGCTGGCCGCAAAACCCAATTCCACACACATCGGGCCAATCAGCATCCCAACCGGGCTGGGCCAAACCCCCGCACGTGAGAGCTTTCTCCCTACCCCTTCCACCTAACTGTAACTGCGGCACTCCACTGCTCACAAGTTGATGGCGAGTGAACCCGAAGCGTGTAAACACAAACTAAATCCAAATACACAAAATACACAATACAACACACACGCCTCGGGCGCGCCCAAAATCTAAGCACTCATACGACCTTTTTACTTGAGCGTCTTTGTGGTACGTTTTTTCCGTCATTGAAAACAGCGCCGTCGCCGGAGCCGCCGCCGCCGGAAAGAACCGTAATTACACTGTTGCCCAGATACGCGCACATGATACCAATATAACGCAACACCAGTCTCGAGTGTCGGAGGACAAGGAAAAGCGTCTATACTTTGGACAACCTATTCACGTTATCGAAATCCGGGTAATTGTCAGCATCTATCAATTGCGTATGCTTACCACTGCTAGCCCCATTGCTGACACAATAGAGTTGGGGTAGTTACTTCACAGAGTGATAAAACCCGACCACTATGGTATTCTCCTTCTAGTTGCTCTTCCCTGGGACGAGCTATTGCGTTTCTCTACCTGAATCTGTTCTTCTTCACTCTATATATTGGTAAGTTTGCTGCCGAAGTGGACAGGCCTCAGCCTTTAAATAGGTGGCTAAGCTTTGGCGCGTTGAATTTCTTGCTGGCAATGGTGCAGGCGCTGAGCGTCTCCCCATCGCAGCTCCTGGACGAAAAGCAAGAGCGATTTTCTTTTCCATCCCACCAAGCTGTGAGAGAGCGTGCTGGCCTCCGGCTGGCTACCTTTTCAGCTGCTGCTGCCACCGAAGCAGCGATTACTTGGGCAGACTTTACGTTAGCTGCGGCTCCTTGCGACTGTTGCAGAGTGCAGAGTCACTCATGCTGCGCCATAAGCGTCCACCGCCATCGCCGTCATCACCGTTCACTAGAACATGGTTGGCTGAATAACTAGGTGGCAAGAAAGTTCGCTAGCTTGCTTGCTTACAGCCGAAACACGGCACCTATAGAGACACGGCGCCTCCATACCTAGCACCTCGCTGCGTTCACCTGGCGACGTTTGTGACGACAGTAACAGCGACCTTCTGCGTTTCATCGTCGTTTTTGTGTAAGTATACGAATCGTCCGACCCAAACTCCGCCGTACGACTTTTGTTGCCTGCGTCATGTTCCAAGCATCGCGGCAGAGCAATACTTCTGGCGCCTGCTTGCCGCCATCGTAATCACCCATCCGCTGATGATGCCCGCAGATAACACGTTCAGTTAGCCAGTCAGTCGCGCTCCCTATGACGCCGATAAGAGTAGTAACATCAGCAGCAACACTAACAATAGCAGCGTAAACATCGCTTTCCATCGCGGAACCAACGCACGCCCAACTTATGGCAGTCTCCACGCGGTGGCTTTCGATAAGCAACTCGTGCGGCGACCAAGCAACGAGACAGGACGCCACCTTTCTGTAGTCATGGCGCTCTGCTACACAGGTTGGTCTATGTGAGAAACAGATAGTCGCTGGCCTACTTGGTTACTAGCTCTTTTCCTTCGGTGGCAGCAGTAGCTGTTAGCGTCGTTTTGAGGTTAGCTGATTAGTTCGTCAGTTCGTTTACTAGTCTATCGGTTCATCTCCATCGAAACGGACATAGCCCAAATAACGCCAGTAACTGACCAAGCCCACTGAGCGAACGTCGTTATAAGATGGTACACCAGCGAGAATCCAGAGCGACTGCTAGATGAACTGCGAAAACCCGACAGGAAAGGAGCCAAGTACGAGGTAAGAGTGAACTGTGTGTGAGGACCACGAGAGTCGAGACTCCGCCGGCACGGTGACTCGCTCGATGGCTCCTGGATGCTGCAAGGCATCACTCGGCATTCTTCCGCCGGCGAAACCTACCTTCGCTACGGCAAACAGCCTCCAAGAGGGCTTCTGACCGACTGCCCAGCCGCTAGTCAGCCAGCCGCTAACCAAGAGCAGCTAAACTAAGCGAGCGGACGGTGGTGCATTTGCTGTCGGCCCTTCTATCCCGCCTCCGCGGAAACGTCACGGGATAATAAAAGCCGAGATACGACAAAAGTCGACGGCATCCCATCATCGTCTTAACTGCTATCATCAACCATTATTCGACGCCGGTCTAAACAGTTCTTTTCGCTTCACCCCCAAGGAGCTGAATCGCTGTGAAGCAGGCATTGGCTGACGGCTGCGGCAAAAACTGTCCCCTAGAAAAGGGAGGCTGGATAGCGAAGCCCTTAACCTGTAAACCTTGCTAATTAGTTTGTTTCACACGCCGCTCGCTTTCATCCAACTGTTCATTGCCACCAGCGGCGGCTGGCTGCTTTTCTCTGCCGTCGTTGTCAAGGGAGGTTCATCGATAGAATTTGGAAATTCTCATCATCGTAGCGCCGATACCGACCACCATCCGGACGTCATCGCCACCCTAAGCGGTAACAGACCGAAAGAGATTTTGATAGACATGATGAAGGGGGTTGGACCGCGGCACAGAAGAGGATCATCTATGGCGACAACCATAGTAATGGTCCATTTGGCAGCCCGTTAACACGTTGGGCTAGCAAGCGGAGAAGTCCGCTCGCCTGTATCAGAGAGACGGCGAACGAGCGACAAGCGAGCGGACTCGATATTCGACGTCTGACTAGGTCTCATTAGTCATTTGAATTATTGTCATTGACCTCCAATTCTACGCTAGCGAGCGGGCAGCTCTAGCAGTGGATGGAATTCGTAGAATCTAGTTTGGCACGCTAGCACAGGAAATGGCACCATCTAAAACGAGGATGGAACTGGTAGCCTGAGGTCGCACGCGGTTATAGATAACTTTCGAATTCAACGAAAAACCCGCTAAACTTAGCGGGGCTTTTTTAAGCGCTATTTTGTCTCACCACGTTTGGACATGTGCTCCCCGGAACCCCGAAGTCAAACACTTAGCCAGGCAAGCTAATTAACGAAGCCATCGCATATAACGCAACGATTAATAAAAGCGAAGAAGATTAGACATATATACATAACATACATCATACATATATATATATATATTATTTTGCGCTTAAGTCGGAGCAACTTTGGCGGCTTGTTTGTTCATCTGCTACGCCTAGTTCTAAAAAAAAAGTCAGTTCTTTTTAGAACACCAAAGCACCGTTTCTGTACTGTTTCTAAAATTTGACCAAAGATAAGGTATAATCCAACCAAAACGTTGAAAACTTCGAAATCGCTGGTCTACGTTATAGCCAATTGTCACGAGGCTCCTGAAAGATTTCCATGATCCTCAATAGGGTTTCGATTTAAAGAGCTTAAACATTTATTAGGAAAGCTCAAAAAACCATTTTTGATATACTCGGATTTCCTATACAGGAGGAGAATATCAATTATTAATAAATAGATAATTACAGCAGTCAGCCTTTTGTAGCTTTCTAGTGCCAGTATTCACTCCTTGTATTCTTGGCGGTACTGGCGTGCTATTAGGCCACAATTTCATTCCGATAAATTTTCTTGTATATAGCTTATTTGAGTGACACCTTAGTAAATTCACACCTATCAATATAACTTACTACGAAAAAGTTATTATATCTGCTAGGACTAACGCTTCTAGAACTAGGTTGAAATATAATCCCAGAAATAAAACTTAAGAAAATTCATTTCGACGTGTCACTACTGTATATATACACACACACACACACACCAATTTATACACAATACAATATCCAATTTATATAAGAATATCACAAGTTTTATGACCGAATTTTCGTAAAAAGAAGTTCTGAAAGTTGTGAAACGCTATAACTTTCCAATATGTTGCGCAGCTCGGTATACAGTTAAGATGCGAAGTGGCAAAAACAAAAGCGACTCTATTTTATGGGGCGCTAGAATTCGAGACGACTGTTAGTGAGACATTTTAGCGTTGCATTTAGGTACAAAAATACAAATAAAGTTTGATATATTATATTGCTTTGAAATCGGGGCGAGGGTGGCGAGGTGGTGTTCTAGATATTGCTTTTGAACTGTGAAAACGACAGTTGTCAACTGCTAATGATTTTTTTAACGTATCTGCTAACGTATTGTTGTATGACGGCCTTGAAATCACGACACGGTACAATAACTTAGTTAAAACCCTAAATTGTGAACCGCACAAAACTAATCTTAATTTTTATAGTATCTAGTGATTGTATGTACGCTAACACTAGATCTAAAATGATAAGTTAAATAAATACGATAAAATGAAAAGGTGTTTATATATCGCTTGCTGTGCCAATTCGGTTAACTTCATCATAATAATTTGTCAGTTTAGTAATTAAGCGTACAGAACTGCACGGATTTTTATTCCTATAAAAAGGCTCGAACATGTAACAGTTTCTGGTGGCTTATTTATGGCGGAATCACAAGGCCAAGACGCTGATTGAAGTCAACCAACTGGGCAACAATTACGAGACACGAAAACACCTACCTACTATCACCTAGTTACTTTGTGTATTGCTGGCCGTTGTCCCCCCCCCATAAATAAAAAAATAATTCTCTCGTTACCTCTATCGATACAGCTTGGATTGTTTTATGGTAGATATCTTCGTAGCCAAACTGAGCGGCCTGTTTATGTGAATTCAGGCTATGCAACATGTCGACTGGCCTATTCCACTAAACAATGAGTTATTCGTCGAAAACTGACAAGATCGATGGTTTTGTTAGCAAAGAGGACGTCATCATCAAACAGTAGAATAGCGGATCTCAGCGTGGACAGTACCGATGCGTTAACGCGCGCTTTCCTTTTACTACGCCCTTTCTCGCCACCTTTCAAGATCAAGGCAATGTACTATCAGCCAGCCTTTACCCCGGCTTGCCAGGTTCATCATTCGTTTTATGTGAGAATAATTCCAACAATCGTAAACACTACGAGTGGCCTATTACGGCATCGAAAATAGCAATCGGAGAAGTAAAAATGTATGATAATCTACGGAATTCACTTTTGCTGTTGTGGCCATCGTAGCTGCCACTAGAGGTTCGTTAGCGTGTTGGCATTTTTGGGCAACAGTCAACACTGCGTGAATTGCTATGAGTGATAGCATCACGTCCTGGCGACAAGATGGCCATCAACAGGACGGTCTCTCTTAGGAATGAAAGAGAGGCGGCCATCGACCGAGTTAACACACGTCGTGATTAAGTCATCTATGAAGAACATAAACCTCCTTAGGCTGGTCTCACAGCTAACAGCCAATCACTCTGTAGACCGTCCGTACTTTCGAAGATTCATAGATATAACGATTTCATCCAGTTTTCTATCGGGTAAAGGAAACTATAGAACAATGAACCGATGCGCAATGTCAGTAAACGGTCTAGAAACCTTTGAAAACACCCCATAATGCATAATTACTTTCAAGAAATACAATGGAGATAAATATCTATAATAATATATAATTAATATATATTTCTGAGCGTATCTGCTGTATTTTAATAGATTAAAATACTTGTTAAAATAATTGTGCTTTTTACTTAAGAAAACAGTACATATTGCCTTATACTGTTTATGTGCTTTATATAATTATTCTGCTAAAAACATCAGTACATAAAGACAAAGCAGTCTTTTTTTTTAATTTTATCCTGCATGTAACGGATTAAAGTAATTCGATCGCTGATGAGGCTCAGGCCTGCAATTTTTCCTGT